AGGTGACATTTAACGCAACTGTTTGTGAGAAAACTATCGGTAGAGTTGAAAATGCAATAGAAACACATTTAACTTTTTATTTGATCAAGTTCAATGTGTTTCTACTGCATTTTCAACTCTACCGATTGTATCAAATAAAAATCTGAAGTTCAACGTGTTAGGGCCAGGTTGGAAATCGTGCCGTACCAGGGCTGGAAAACCAGGGGTTGGTGCTGGGTCTGGTGCTGGGACTGTGGGCCTGGGAGAATACAGGAACCAGGAACTGGGGCTGTGTCGGGATCTGTAGAGGGGAGGAAGGACAACCTGAGGATCAAGCAGACACACAAGGAAGCCCTAGACCCAGAGGTCAATGGTGGCACTCCCCTGTGGTCTGCACGCTCAGGGTGAAGAGGGGTTTGTGGATTTGGTGGCGTTTGCCCTGGCCCTGACGGCGTAGGAACTGGGCCAGGTTCTGAAGAAGTGTTCCCCTTTTCAACACAGGTTGCAGGGGCACGTGGAGGTACAGTCAAGGGTTGGGGTGGTTGTCTTTACAGATCATGCAGATGATGGCTGTGCAGGCTGCGGCCAGATGGCCCAGTTGTCCGCAGTTCCTGCACAGTTTGGACATGATGTAGTAGTGGACGGCGCCTCTGTTGTTACTCAGCGTGATGGTGCTGGGGAGGTGTTGGACTCCGCCCACTCCGGTTGGGTCCAGTCTTAACATTACTAGCCATTTTTGTGAAGTTCTGAAGTTCAGAAGTTGTCTTCGTCCAGGACACTCCTAGCCGCTAACTTGAGGGTGGCGAACCTGCTTAACCAAACTTGTATGCCATAGTCCTGAATGCATTCATTGTGAAGCTGTACTGTACTGCACTCTACTTGCCTCAAGGCCTGCAGTCTGTCGTCTCCTCCTCAGGCAGCTGGTCTGATGCTCGTTCTGGATGCTGGGGGGGTTCCGGAATGGTCATTGGACTGGGGAGTCAGGTCGGGCGGCGGTCACGCCATTGTCACCTTTCCCAGTCCTTCCGGCGATTCCGGCCTTGTCCTCTGGACCTGAGAAACAGCGCCAGCTACGGTCAAGCCACTGTTACTGTTGCTGCCTCCTGGTCCGTCCAAAGAAAAGGATGGTGAGAGAGTAGAGAGAGGGACACAACCCCAGAAAATCTCCACCACACAGGGTTGTGCCTAATGAAGCAAAACCAGAGTCCTACCGTTTAAGGTTTATGCTAGTAGATACCCATTGACTTCCAGTCATGCGCTAACGGTAGTTAGCATTGGCTCGCAAAACATAAAAATGATATCCATGAGTTCATCTGACTCTGGGGAAAATCCTGAAGTATCCCTTTAAAATATGTTAATGAGCCAGAGACTCTTTCCACGGCCAAAACATTTTCCCACAATGCACCATAATTAATTCTATAAAACTTTCTACAGTGTTTTACCGTTGAAATTACAGAAACATCTTACAGTGTAACTCTATCTGTCGCTCTCGCCAATCAATCCCTCATTCTCTCTCTCCCTCTCTCTCTCTCTCTCTCTCTCTCTCTCTCTCTCCCTCTCTCTCTCTCTCTCTCTCTCTCTCTCTCTCGCTCTCTCTCTCTCTCTCTCCCTCTCTCTCTCTCTTTTTGTCTGTTTTGCTGTGATCTCACCTACTTGTCAATGTGTCACGATATCCTTTCGTGTCACTTTCACTCCTTGACCCTCTCTCTTTCTAACACTCTCTCTTTCTATTTCTCTCTCTCGCTTTCTCTCTCTCTGTGTTGTCTATCCCAGCACTCTAAGAGGAAGTAACACACTACAGTAGTCTGAAGTTGGATTCCATAGAAGGCCTCTAGCAGGAGACACAGTCACCATGATCAACAATTTCAGAGAGAGAGAGAGAGAGAGAGAGAGCGAGTGAGTGAGAGTGAAGGTGAGAGTGAGAGTGAGAGTGATTATCATTTGTATTAAAATGCACTCAGGTTAATATAGAGAGGAGACACATACCGATCCTCATTCAGTGCACACACACACACACATACATAGCGTAAACCTTTTTTAACCATAGCGGAACCTTTTTGGTGCTATATGGAAGCTTTTTTTGAAGGTTCTATGAAGAACCATGCTCATAAGATTCTATATCGAACTTGTATGGTGCTAAAAACAACCCTTTCATAAGGTTCTATAAAGAAGGTCCCACTATGGTTACAAGCCTTTTTGGGGGTATATAGAACCCTTTTTATAGATCGTTATGGAACCTTTATGGAGAATGGATCTATAACTGACTTTTCTCAATCTCAAAGGTTCTTTGTAGAACCATGCAGGTTTGTACTTATTCTGGTTTAATAGCCATATTGTATTGTTAAAATTCCATAGGTTTTATTATTGTGTTTATTAACAAGTTGAATCAGTTGTGCTACATCTGGAACAGTCGGGGGTCCTTGAGGTGAGAACTGAGAACTACTGACAGTCAACAATTCGCAATTGACACAAAGCCATACATGAGTCTTCCACAAGATACCATCACTGGCTATAGACCTAT